AGCGGCACGGTTGGGTGGCGCCTGTAGTCCCAGCCTACCTCGGGAGGCTGAGCGCAGGAGAATGGCTGACCGGAGGCAGAGCTTGCGAGTGAAGCCGAGGATCCACACCACTGCCACTCCAGCCTGGGCGACAGAGGAGAACTGCCGTCTCAAAAGAAAATAACATAAATAAAGTAAGTAAATAAAACTTAGCCAGGAGGTGCGGGTTGCAATGGGCTGAGATCACGCCATTGCACTCCAGCCTGGGCCAACAGAGCAAGACTCTGGTCTAAAAAATGTAAAAAAAAAAAAATTAGCGAGCAGTGGTGGCAGGTGCTTTGTTATCCTAGCTGCTGGGAGGCTGAGAAGGGAGGATTGCTGAACCAAGAGTCCTGGCTACAGTGAGCTGTGATCATGCCACTGCACTCCAGCTGAACTCCAGACTTTATTGGATTTCACTAGCTTTATCCGCAAATTTGTCCTTTTCTTGATTCCTGGATCCAGTCCAGGGTACTATATTGAATTTACTTGTCACATCTCCTTTCCTGCCTCTGGTCTGTGGCAGTGCCTCAGTCTTTCTTTGTTTTTCATGACCTTGACAGTTTTGGAGAGGTCTGGTTAGGCATTTTATAGAATGTGACTCAATTTGAGTTCCTTTGCTTGCTACTATATTATATAAAAAATATACACATATATATGCATATTCATTTATAGTGTGGAATATTATACATATTATAGTGTTGAAAACACACATAACATAAAATTTACCATTTTAAGTATTATTATTTTGTGAGACACGGCAAACCGTGTCTCGCCCAGGCTAGAGTGCAGTGGTACATACAGCCCCGCTGGTGTGGAAAGCGAGCTGTGTTCGGACGGCCTGAACCTACGGGATTACATTGTTTGACCAATGGAAGGCTGCGGAAGGTGGGCCCCCAAACGTCTGGGCTCCTGAAGCCGCCGGGGGGCGTGGCCTCCAGGTTTAAAAAAAATAAAATGGATGTGAGGCCTGCAGTGCAAGCCAATGAAAGGCGAGGGGAGGCGGGGTCTGTGCGCCAGGCGGCCAGTAGAGGCAAGGCTCTTTCGGGTGGCCCCGGAGCGTGGCTCCGACTGTGCGCATGCGCATCGGGCCGGACTACGGGGCGCCGCTGAGCCAAGTGGGCGACCCGGGCAAGGACGGGCTCCCGGGTCACGTGACACGGAGCTGGCCGAATTCTGCAGGAGGCAACGCCATAGCCTAGAGGTGAAAGTGCATAGCCTCGGGGGTCGAGCTGGTGTGGGAGAACCACATCCTGATGCGATGTGACCTCGACCCGTAGCCCGGGGTCTGGGTCCAGGCTCGGGTCCGTGCGCTAAGGGAGAGGCGTGGCTTGCGTGGAGGGTCGCGCCAGCTAACCTGGGGGCGTGACCTCGTGCCTCTTGGTGACGTACCGTGGGGCGGGCTCACTCCTGGGGCTGAGTTTTGGGGTCCCGTTGTGGAAAGAGAGGACGGGCTTCTGCCTGTCCATTGACAGGTAGGTAAGTGGAAGATAACTCTGTGGTGCTGTCGTCGCCGCTTTGACCTGTGGTGGCTAGTTTGGGTGGGAGTGGTGGTGACATAAAGGATTGGGGCTAGCCCCGCGAGGGGCGTGACCTTGTCACAGAGAGGCGTGGCTTCACTCCGAGCCTAGGCGCACAAAGGGCGTGGGCTGGCAGTGTTGGGGGCGTGGCCGCACAGAAACTGGCGGCAAGGGGCGTGGTCCTGAATCCGGGCTGAGAGAGGGGGCGCAATTTCTTCCGGATAGGTTCCCTGTCGCGCCCAAATCTGGGAAGTGCCCTTTCTCTCTTAGGTGCCACCTCATGGAGACCCCCGCGGCCGCCGCCCCTGCCGGGAGCTTATTCCCCTCCTTTCTGCTCCTGGCCTGCGGGACGCTGGTGGCCGCCTTGCTGGGCGCCGCGCACCGCCTGGGGCTCTTCTATCAGCTGCTGCACAAGGTGCGGGACACAGAATGGGAGGTGGGCTGGGGGCAGTCAAAGAGGGAGGGACCTCGTGGTGCTGCTTCCAGCTCACTCATTGCGCAGGGTGGGAAAGCGAGCCCCGACTAGTCCAGAGGGACTGGTAAGAGGCTGTGTCCAGGGCCCTGACTCCATTGCCACGCTGCGTATGGGGGCCTGGACTTTGCCACTAGTGAGAGACAACATGGAAGCTGCCGCTGCCCGGGCACTTGCACCCCACCTACCTCCTTCCCCAGTGACTCTTTTCACAGAACAGATGGACAGCACCCCTAAACTGGATGGGAGAAATGCGGCAGAGGGCAGGCACCAGCAAGGGGGTGGCAATGAGTTTCATAACAGTTGCCCTCTGCTGACAGTACTGTAGACTTTCTTATCTACCCGTTAACCTTTTCCTTGAAAGTAGGTGCTGTTCTTTCTGCCTCATTTTCTGCAAGAGGAAGCTGAGGCTCAGAGAGATTGTGTGGTGATTTGCCCTAGGTGACATGTTTGGAAAGAGCTGACCCCACAGGCTTCCCCCGAACTCCTTGCACCTGTTTGAAATTTACCCCTTCCTCAGACTTCCTTCTTAACCCTTTCTCTCCTAGCAGGGACCAAGCTTGACCTCTCCCTCCCCAAACCCTTCTCTGATCCTTCCTCTGCTAGCCAAGAGTCATGCCACTGACCTTCAGGACTTGCAGAGATTTAAAGCAAGCCTTGGATGTGTAGGGCTGTGAGGCAGCTGGAGTTGGGAGGCCTCGGCACAGTCTATGCCAGCAGCTCACTCCTATGCCAGGCACATGGTGGCTGGCAGCCTGTCAACTAAGCCCTGGGCCTGTTTAGCGTCTATCAGGAGGGTATCAGGGAGGTTGGAATCAGGAGCCCAGCTGCCAGGCCCTGCAGGGATACTGGACAGTCAGGAGTCACAGCAGATGGCTCCCTGGCAAACTCCCTGGGTTATATAACCGTCTCCTCTCTTCCTGATTGCCCTGCCATCCTGGAGACAGGCAGTGTAACAGTGGGGCACTTAAGAGCGTGGGTTCTATTGGACTTTCATTCTTACTTGGGCAAGTCTTGATGTCCTCAGCTTAAGAGGGATGTAATGACAAGAGGATCTGATAAGATGTTATGCCTTGCTTTGAGCCTGGTGTGTAGTATAATATATGCCTAACCAAGACCAAGCTTCTCTTGACCTCTCACCCTGCTCCTGCCCTTTTACCCAGCTGCCCTCTGCCCTGACCTTTAACTTTATTGCTCCACCTGTCCTTGGGCCCAGGTGGACAAGGCAAGCATCCGGCATGGTGGAGAGAACGTGGCCGCTGTGCTGAGGGCCCATGGCGTGCGGTTCATCTTCACGCTGGTCGGTGGGCACATTTCCCCACTGCTGGTGGCCTGTGAGAAACTGGGCATCCGTGTGGTGGACACACGCCATGAGGTCACGGCCGTCTTTGCTGCTGATGCTATGGCCCGCCTGTCCGGTGAGAGCATTGCGGAGAGGGCTGGGGATTGGTTGGACTGTGGGATACGGTGTCTGTGAGGGTTGGGGTTTTTCAGAAGTGGGAGAATGGCCAAGAGAGTGGGCATGGCTGTGATGGGCTCTGTGTTCCAGGAACGGTGGGCGTGGCGGCAGTGACAGCAGGCCCTGGCCTCACTAACACAGTGACGGCGGTGAAGAATGCTCAGATGGCTCAGTCCCCAGTCCTGCTTCTGGGTGGGGCCGCCAGTACTCTGCTGCAGGTACCCAGTCCTTGGGGGCTGGTGGGGGCCTAGGTGGGGCTTAAAGGGCTCATGTGGTAACCCTACCACACCTCTGTCTTTGCCAGAACCGGGGTGCACTCCAGGCCATTGATCAGCTGTCCCTTTTCCGGCCACTCTGTAAGTTCTGTGCGTCTGTGCGGAGGGTGCGGGACATCGTGCCCACCCTGAGGGCCGCGATGGCTGCTGCCCAGTCGGGCACCCCAGGTAGGTGGAGGATGGTGATGCTGAGCAGTGCTGGGGCCGAGGGGCTGGGGACATATTGTGGACTCAGCGTCCTCCCTGCCCCTACAGGTCCAGTGTTTGTGGAGCTGCCCATTGACGTGCTGTACCCCTACTTCATGGTCCAGAAGGAGATGGTGCCAGCCAAGCCACGCAAGGGCCTCGTGGGCCGAGTGGTCTCCTGGTGAATAGCCCCACCACTGCCATTCCCTCCTCTATCCCCCGTCCTCTCCTGCAGCTTCCAGCCTGTGTCCATCCTCCTTTGATTCACTTGTGGAGTGGGAGGAGACAGCTGTGGGGAGAGCATTCCAGGTAGAAGGAACAGCATGTGCAAAGGTCCTGGGGCAGGAATGAATTGGGTGGGTGGGAAAAGCAAGGTGGCCCTCATGGAGGCAGCAGAGGGGAGAGGCTCAGGACAGCCCTCCTCCTCCTCCTCCATCATCATCTCTTCTTCCTCCTCCCTCTTCCTTCCTCTTCTCCTCCCTTTCCTCCCCGCCTTTCCCCTCATCTTCTTCGTTTTCCTCCTCCTTAAGGATGATCCTTGAACCTCAGAAGGGAGGTTCATTCTTACATTTACAGAGGAGGAAGCTCAGAAAGGTGAAGTCACTTGCCCAAAGTCACACAGCTAAGAAGTAGCAAAAAAAAAAAAAAAAAGGAAAGGACACAGATGTGAGGAAGGAAAGGGAGGAGGAAAGAGGGCTTAAAGTCTGGGCTCTGCCACTCTTTTTTTTTTTTGTTGAGACAGGAGTCTCGCGCTGTTACCCGAGCTCACCAGGCTGGAGTGCCATGCGTGATCTGCCGACTGAAGCTTCACCTCCGGGTTCACGCCATTCTCCTCGCCTCAGCTCCCGAGTAACTGGACTACGGGCGCCGCCACACTGCCCGCTCGTTTTTTTTTGTTTTTTTTTTGTTTTCCCTTTTAGTAGAGGACGGGGTTTCAACACCGATTAGCCAGGATGTGTTCAGTCCCTCGATCTCCTGACCGTCGGATCCACCCACCTCGGCCCTCCCAGAAGTGCGGAGGATTTCACAGGTGTGAGCACCGCCTCCCGTCCTGGGCTTTGCAC